ATAATATATTTGAAAACGTTTAAAATTTCTCGAATATATCATTACGGTACGGGAAGTTCCAGCAATTTGCCTTAAGGCACGATGCCATACACCACTAGATTTTTTTAATTATTGGATGCAGCACTGTCTCAAAATAAAAAAGACAGAAAAAAATCGACTGGCAACAAATGGTACTTGTTCAAAACCATTTTATCTACTATTTGTTCTACTAATTCCATTCACAATGCAATTACTATTATAAACAATGGGTCGGCGTAAAGTAAAATAATATATGTTAATATTTATATATATATATATATATATATATATATATATGAATATATACATGCGTCGTTTTTCATAGTTATTTAAATATGAATTATTACGCACATATTTACTTTGCCATTATGAAGATTATGTAACGGTTACAAAGATACGTTACTATGTAACTTATTAGACTTTTGTAAATGACACACGAGTTTTTTGATAAATTAATTTTGACACGAGCAAAGAAAAATAATAAGATATTTGTGTAACGATTTGGATGCACATTTCGGACAACCTGATGTCAAGTGATCCATTTATTGCTTATTAGATAGATTTTTTCTTAAAACAAAGAAAATTGCTTCCAATAAATATAAGCCTTGGTTTAATTCTGATATTATTAGGAACCTCCGTATGAAATACTATCATAATAAATATCACTTTCTATTCTATTATAAAATTTTTCTATTATAATTTCTATTATAAAAATTTTAAATTGTACAGAAAATTAATGAAAGATGCCTATATTTCATATATTATTGACGTTGAAAATCCTCTATCGCTTAATCCAAAATATTTCTGGTCTTTTTTGCATAATAAGACTGCTTCTAATATTATTCCTAATAGATTGTGAGGTCTAGACAAATATTATGATTCTCCTGATGCTATTGTTGATGCATTCAATTCTTACTTTATTAGTGTTTGTCAGCCTATACTTGACATACCCATTTTATTTGATCATAATGATAGAATCATGATTGATATGGGTGAAATTGATTCTAGTACTGTGCAACTTGCAATAGCAAGTTTAAAGAATCCAAAATATTTGGTTTCGATGGTATTCCATCTTTCTTTATACGTGATTGCACATCTGCTCTATCTGATCCACTTGCGTTTTTATTTAATCTATCATTGTATACAAACACTTTTCCAAATTGTTGGAAAATTGCACGATTAGTTCCAACTTTTAAACAAGGTTATACATCAAACATACTAATTACAGGCCGATATCATTATTATCAAACTTTGCTAAGGTATTTGAAAAAAATATTTATAGAAAACTAATTCCTTCTACAATTCCTATTCATGCCTACAATTACAAATTTAATCTGTATTAAACAATATACGTGTATGGCTGAGAATGGAAAGGTTGATGTTATTTACAGTGACTTCAGTAAAGCTTTTGACAAAATTGATCATAACATTCTTCCTACTAAATTATCTAAGATTGGTCTTAATTCTTCGCTTATTTATTTTTTTAAGAGTTATCTTCATGATCGTAAACAGTTTGTCTATCTTAATGGATTCTTGAGCAATATTGAAATTATAAGTTCAGGTGTTCCTCAGGGATCCATTCTTGGTCCACTACTATTTATTATTTTTATTAATGACATATCTGATATTATTAGCTGTCCACATTTATTATTTGCAGATGATCTCAAACTGTATCTCAAAATAAATTCTATTGATGACTGCTTATTATTACAGTCTCAACTTGACTCTTTCCACTCTTGGTGTGTCTATAATAAATTACATTTAAATATATCAGAGTGCAAGATTCTTAGCTTTTCACATAAGCGCGTCCAATATATTTTGATTATAAAATCACTAACACCAGCATTGATAAATGTAATAAAATATCAGACTTGGAAGTTTTATTTGATTCTGGTTTGTTTTTGACAGATCATGTAACTGATATTTGTTATAGAGCACAAAAATCTTTAGGTTTGATACTGAGAAATTGTAAACAATTCAATTCTAACAATGCACTTCTTTGCATGTACTATTCTATTGTACGTTCAAAATTAGAATATGGTTCAATTATTTGGTATCCTCATCAAATTAACAATTCTGATGTGATAGAGAAGTTTCAGTGAAAATTTATGAAATACCTTTATTATAAAACATATAAGATTTACCCTGAACGTGACTTTGACCACAACACTTCACTAAAAGAATTTGGTATTCCTTCCCTTGCCCCACGTCGATTTATCTGTACAATTCTGTTCTTATTTAAACTTTGCATTAATTCTATAGACCGTCCTCTTATTCCTAATCAACTATCCTTTAATGTTCCGAGACTATCTACGCGTTCGCAATTATTTTTCAATGATCCTACTCTTAAATCTAATTCTCTCTTAAATTCGGCTATTTTACTTATGTCCTCTAACTTTAACTTAATTAATAATGAAATAGATATTCACAACACTTCACCTTCACCATCTCCATCCGCACAAGTTAACCTTTTTATTTTCTTTTAAAATATCCTATTATTTTATCTTATTTTATCTTATTTTATATATAAATATTATTGTTACATTCTGTATTACATGTAATTTTATGTCAAGGAAGAAATCTGTGGGCTATATATTTAAAAATAAATAAATAAATAAAACTTTCTTGTTTGCTTTCAATCAATTATCCGAACCAGTTTCTTGTTCAATACTTTGTCTCCATATAAATCCATTTTCCTGAACATTCGGTTCCGGTTTGAAACTGTAAATAACGATTAAATGTCACATGTCACATGTCGGTCGTGACAAAAACTGATTTTCCCACATATTATTATTGCATTGAAACGAAATGACCATAAAAATGCCATCGATAAATTATCGAGTGATTACATGCAATCAAATTGTGAAACATTTCTATTCAATTACGTTTTTCTTGACGAGAAAATTAATAAATATCAAACTAGTTTAATGGCACCGCTTTGCAAATATAGATTACGAAATTGCATCATGGTAGTAAGAATTATTATCTGGGAAGGAATGGAATATTTTATGGTAATTGACTCATGGTATTGGATTAATGCCCAAATACGAAATGATAGAGGAGGTATAGGGTAAAGAGGTCCACCACCACTGAAAAAGTAAAATTTGTTATTTCTTAAAGATACTATTTTAAAGTAGAGTGCAAAAAGTTGTTTTTTCGAGCACTGTTGGTGAGTTTACGATACCTGAATATAATTTTTACGTATACGTTACTTAAATGTTTCATAAGATGTTTTCTTATTTTGAATTTAGATTCTTAGCTTACATGTGTTTGGGGTAAAAAGGGCCTCCTAAACAGAAATACATACAAAAGCAAGATTTATGAAAGTACAAAGTGTTGATAATGATTTTTGTCCCTCGAATATTTTAAACACAAAAGTTAAATTAACGCATTTTTTTTAATCTTTGTTCGTTCTTTGCTAATTAACTTTCCATAGAGTAAGTTATAGTAATGGCTTAAAAATGAAAATTTTTATATATCTTTACGTTTCAAAGGTTTCTGAACATATTGGCATACCTTAGAAAAAATGGCTGTATGCGTGTGTGTATGAGTGTGTGTGTGGGTGTGAGTATGTGGGTGTGTGTGTGCGGATACAAATTTTCGTCCACGATTTTGGAAACACCGATCAACCGATTTGAATAATTCAAAAAACATTCGTTTGCTACTGTTAAGGAGACGTGCTGATTAGTTTATGGCAAAGGCAGGTCTAGCCGTTTCGGAGATACGGGGCAAAAAGTGCCAAAAACAGTTTTTAAAAAAAGTGTGCGTACGATTTTAATAATTCAAAAAACATTTTACTTGTTTTAACAAGATGAAGAACTGATTAAATTTTTGGGAAGGCAGGTCAATTGGTTATAGACTCTCAATAAAAATAAGTTAAAAAAATGTCATTTGGAGGGCAAAAATGTTTATTGGGCATATGTACATGAAATAATCAGATATTTTATAGAGATTTTAATAATGTGTACGCATTTTGTGTAAACTTTTTTTGGTTCCGTACCAAGATTTTTAATTAAGGTACGGAAAGTTCCAGCAATTTGCCTTAAGACACGATGCCATGCACCCCACCAGTTTGATATAAAATCCCACTTTAGATTGTTTAAAAAATGGGTTAATTATAACTTTTTTCAAGGTTTTTTAGGTTCAACTAGAATAGAATTTAATCCTGAATATAATGAATTTTATCTCGTTTCGATAGGATGTTCAGTCGAAATTTTCGTTCCCCTTGCTCACTATTTCTTTGGTAACTCCAGAAATAATTCGATATTGTTTCTGAAATTTTAGGGATATATTTTTGGCTGCTTATGGAAGATATTTTTGCAAAAAAAGAACGATTTTTTTAAGCCTCCAAAGCATGCTCCCCCTTCAATACATATCTAAATTGAGGTTATGTTAACAAAAAGTAAAATGCAGTAATAAAAAATTTCAAATTTGTAAAATAAACTTACTCTGGGATTGACCAATATACTCGTCACGGGTTATATATATTCGTTCAGTCACAACACCGCAATTAACAAGTTAATTAACGTAATTTAACTATTTTCAAAAATATAATTTTTGTTCAAATTCAATATGGCAGTTACTTGTCAAATGAATTCGCCATATTAACTAACGACATCTATCTTGTCAACTAATCTCTGATGTTGGCACGATCGTTATCACCTGTCAATTTCGATTAACCTGAAGTTGGTAGTAAAACAAAAACATGGCGCTACTCAATAAAATGTGGCTCCGAAATTTGTAAATTTGTTTGCATTTTTCCAAAAAAACAAAGTGTTGAACTGTATATATTAATGTAAATATGTGAGTGTCCGCGTTTGTATATATTCCAAGACTCTGTATGTAAATAAATGCGTTGTAAACATACGTAGTATGTTATGTGAAAGTGCGCCTATTTCTTTACACGCCATGTTTTTGACAATTATCACAAAAACAAAATCGAAAAGTAAAATAGATCATTCATGATCGTCTGTTATGTTATAGAACATTAGTTTACGTGCGTTTAGTATTTCAGTTTAGTGAAAAACCAATCAATTCTATTAATCAAAATGATTGAAACGGCTCAATTTTCTCAACCCCCTCCGAATTTATCGGCGCCTCCGCCGAATTTGCAAATGCCGCCGCCTAATATGTCGATGCCCCCTCCGAGTTTGGGGACACCGACAAATCCACAAGCTAGGCCACCTTTTCTTAACAATAATCAAAATAGAGTAACGCCACAAACACATTTTTATAAACCGTTCCCCGGGATCTTTCCGAGGGGGCCGACTGGAGGACCCATGACACAAGATGATTTTGACGGGAAAAGACTTAGAAAATCTGTGATGAGAAAGACTGTTGATTATAATGCAGCTATAATAAAAGTACTACAAGTAAGTAGAACCTTCAAACCCTTTTATTTAATTTTTGCACATGAATTAATTAATGTAACTTTACTTATTTGACAGAACCGTGTATGGCAAAGAGACTTTAGAGATAGGCAAGCCTTACAGCCTGATCCAATGTACATTCCAGACTTACTGCCTCCGCCAAGTTATCCAGAAAACCCTATAAATGCAGTAACGACAAAGTAAACATCCAGCATACAAACTACTCAACAATTTAACCACAAAATATAACCTTAAATTATTCTATTTCTTCAGGTTTGTTAAAACTGCTACAAATAAAATGAGATGTCCCATTTTCACCTTAGCATGGACACCTGAAGGTAGACGTTTGGTGACAGGTGCAAGTTCAGGAGAGTTTACATTATGGAACGGACTCACATTCAACTTTGAAACAATCCTACAGGTATTCTAAAACCCCACGACTAATAATTCCTAATCTAACCCTGCATTATTGTGTCTTTTATCACAGGCGCATGACACTCCGGTGAGAACCATGGTCTGGTCGCACAACGACAACTGGATGGTGACCGGGGATCACGGTGGCTTCGTCAAGTATTGGCAGAGCAATATGAATAACGTGAAGATGTTCCAAGCGCATAAGGAACCGCTGAGAGGCATCAGGTATAGACAACCTCCATGAAAATCTCAACGTACTACAAAACTACATGTATGCAAAATAAACCGATGTCTGATTCTGTATGTATAATTATAGAAATTCTTGTCGACGATTTTTTTAGCGGGGGAGGGAAAGGGACCCATGTTTATTTATACAGTTAATATTAGCAAAGAAAATTCATATATTTCGAATTTTTAATTGGGAATATTTATTTTTTCTAATTTGTTTCCTGGATGTGGGTTTTCGTTTTTTATTATATTACATTTCTGTTGGTTTGTGTTCAAATATATACACAAAGCATAAACCAATTGTGTACATAATACTACACCCCTGCCTGTCTACTTATCTATCGATCGATTGTCCAACGTGATCTCAAATATATATCTGTGCTCTCTGTATATATATATATTTGATTGAATAAATAAAGAAAAATAAAATTTATTCATAATGTTAGAGATACATTTGTACCTGATTAAAATAAAATTATATCTGTGATATGATGAATATGATCAATAAAGTGGCCGAGATTAATAATAATAAATATAATAATAATTAATAAATAAATAAATAAAGTTGATATAATTTTAGCATTTGGATGAGGCGATTTTGTTATTTTTTCTATTAGACATGTACTTTATGCAATAAAAGTGGTTCTTGAAACGAAATCATTGGTTTTATTTATAAAGTAAATTTTAAATATTTTTTCAAAGTAAAGTCCGATTCTTTTCAGTTATTGCTAGTTTGTTTTTTTGCCTTCACGAGATCAATTGTGCAATATTTTCGTTTTGGGTGTCTATACAGCTTGTCAAGGTTTGGAATATATTTTACATACACATGTTTATTTTTTGAACACATATGTACCAAGAATTATATATAAACAAAAAGATTCCTCGAAATGTAATTTGAAGAAAGAAAATTTGTCAAGAACAAAACAACAATGTCTAAGTTATGAATTCTATATGATTTGATATGTTTTCATACATTTTAGTCTATGCATATGCCTCTTATAGGCATATGCATTCAATTTCAATTAATGATTGCTTTTTAAATCTAGTCTTCGATACAGGTTGTTTCTTTACCTATTTGGAGAAATGGTGCATGTTTATAAGTTTATGTCAGATATTCCGATTTTCTATTTTTGTTTTTTTGACGTTTTGAGTTATTCTGAATCGTTTGACACCGAATTTGGAAGAAGTATGCGAATGTGTGTATGTGAAAGCACCGTATAGATTTGCGTTGAATGATAAATCATCTAGTAAACCAAGTGAAAGTGACATTTTGCCTGAAGTTGCGTAATATTTCCAATATATGTAAATAATCAATAGACTTAATAAATTTCGTAGGCCTATAATATTTAAGAATTGTGATTTCCAATCTGTGGGGCGCGAGGTTGTAGCAAGAAGGGTGCATAACGGCTTTCAAAATACTTGAAAAGATATAAAAACTATTTATTTTTATGTATATTTTAAAATATTTTATATTGATTTGTAGCCTGGTAAATGAATAATATCAGTCGAGCATTTATGAAATTAGATTGTTAAAATAATTAAGGGAGGCACAGCAATATTTGAAATTTTACACTTATGAATAATTCATGTATACTAATAAATATTATAATATATAAATATTAAGTTGAAAAAAAAGTAATGCAACAAAAAAATAATACATTTTAATAATTTAATTGATGTGAGAAAGTTGATAAAATCGGCAACTCGGTATACTCATAAATTAATATATTAAACTAGTGGTGTATGTCATTGTGGCTTTAGACAAATTGCTGGAACTTCCCGTATTCAAATAGATTATTATAGATACTGTTACTTATATATGTTCACATGAAAAGTAAATAAACAAAGTTTAATGAATGGAATTTAAAATGATTTAATATTTAATGATCTAATATTTATAAGAATTATTTAAATTGAATTGCAAAGTTAAAATTATTTATTTGAAGTATATAAGTGAGCTTTAAAACTATTGCTAAAATTAAAATTAAAATTCGAAAAAAAATTCTAAAAGCAATCGTTTCGTCAACACAAGCAGAAATTTTTTTGAATCATTCAAATCGGATGCTTAGTTTTCTCAAAAACTGTAATTTTTTCAAGATTTAGCTCGATATCTCCGAAACGGCTGGACCTGCCTTTGCAAAAAAAACTAATCAGCACATCTCCCTATCAATAAAAATCAAATGTTTTTTGAACCATTCAAATCGGTTGATCGGTGCGCCCGAAAACGTGGACGAAAAATTGTATCCGTACATACAAACACACATCCATTTTTTCTTATGTATGCCAAAATGTTCAGAAACCTTTGAAACGTGAAGATATGCAAAAAATTTCGTTTTCGATTTTTGGACGATTAATGTTACTCACCCCACGGGAAGTTAATTTAAGATTATATAAACACTTGTTGGGAAATTTATGCAACTTGCCATAAGGCAAAATGCCATTTACGAAAGGTTTAAACACATACTTCATAAAATACTTTTTTTTAGAAACAGATGCTTTAGAAAATAATAATATAAGTCACAAACGTTTCGAGACTACAGTTTATAATTAATTAATTTTGAAATTATTAATATTAAATTAATAAAAAATTCTCTATATGGATTCTCTAACTATATATATAGCCACAAGACGTATTTTTGAAGGCATTTTTTTTTATATCTTACTTGTCCATTTCAGAACAGGTGTAAAAACTACAATATAATAAAAAAAAATCAATACATTTTGGTAACAATATAATTTTAAAATATCTAGTATATAAATCAATCAATTTTTACAATTAAACACTGATGATGGGATAAGTACTAGTCTCGAAACGTTTGTAAACTTTCTAATAACGTAATTAGAAATTAATTTTATATATGGTTTACTCACAATAATAATATTTGCATGCGAAGAAAATAAGTCTCCAGATTAGAAATTAATATTTTAACTAATTTAATTTTAATTAAATAATTTAACTAAACTAAAACTTGGGTTTTCTATCAATATCATTTTGAATGATATAGTTATTATTTGTATATATTGTTAATATCAGTGTATGAAATTGTCAGAAGATTGTTTTCCGTTTTTGTGTTTGTATGTTGGCAGCTTCAGTCCGACCGACTCCAAGTTCGTTTCCTGTTCGGACGACGGAACACTCAGGATTTGGGACTTCATGAGGCACCAGGAGGAGAAAGTGCTCAGAGGTAATAATAATAATAAGATATATTTTTCGAAAAACCATTATCAAATTATAATGAGAAATAAATTATCATGTATTTACTTAATTATTGATTTGTCTGAATAAATTCAATCATTTTGCATAGTAGAACCTGGTGATGCTCCAGAATATTTTTTTTAACGCAGTAGAATGTAGAATGTCTGGTGATGATTTATAATAATTATAAGATATATTTTATGAAGGCAGAGCCCGTCGTAGTAAATGTGGGCTAGTAATTTAAAGCCCGGTTTTAAACTCAGTCAGCTAGGTGTCAAGCAGTACGATACCGGATTTTCACTTGAAATTGTTGATCTCAAACTTCGGTCAGATCGATATCAAGCAGTATGATACCGGATTTTTACTTGAAATTATTGATCTTAAATATGATTATAGTACAAGTGAACTTTCAAGGCATTGCTGTAATTCAAAGTCCTGGATACAGTTCCAAGTCGGTCAGCTCGGTATCAAGCAGTATGATACCGGATTTTCATTTATTGTTATCAAATATGATTAAAGTAAAAGTGAACTTTTTTGCCATTACAGTAATTCAGTCCCAGGTTCGGTTTCAACTTTGATCAGCTCGGTATCAAGCAGTATGATATCGGATTTTTACTCGAGATTCAAATATGATTATGGTGCAAGTGAACTTTTTTGCCATTACACTAATTTAAAGTCCCGGGTTCGGTTCCAACTTCGGTCAGATCGGTATCAAGCAGTATGATATTGGATTTTCACTCATTATTGATATCAAATATGATTATAGTGAAAGTGAAATGAATTCAAATTTATACGGCAGACAATTGTAAATTTCCCAAATTTATTAAAAGTCCTTAACTGGACAGTTCTAAATGAAATAGAGAACAAAAAAAAATGATTATAGTGGGAGTGAAATTTCAAGGCATTGTTGTAAATCATTGTTGTAACCTCGGTCTGAACGGTATCAAGCAGTATGATACCGAATTTACACTTGAAATTATTGTAGGAAAATATTAATTATTAATATGATAATAGAGAAAATGGAAGTTCAGGACATTAAAGTGATTCCCAACTTCGATCAGATCGGTATCAAGCAGTATGATACCGGATTTTCACTTGAAATTATTATAAGGAAATATTAATTATTAATGTGATAATAGAGAAAATGGAAGTTCAGGACATTACAGTAATTCCCAACTTCGGTCAGATCCGTATCAAGCAGTATGATATCGGATTTTTACTCGAGATTTTTATTTTCATATATGATTATATTGAAGTAGACTATATCTAATATAATCGCTATACAAAATAGGATGGTCGACCACTGGGTTGCCTTATTTGAAATAATACATTAAGTCTACAAACAAACAGCTTATAAGAATGTGCAATGAAAACAATTCGATGCACCTAATTAATTGTTAAATATTTGAACAAATTTATAGAAATTGAGAGTA